TACCCTACCCTACCCTACCCTACCCTACCCTACCCTACCCTACCCTACCCTACTCTACCCTACCCTACCCTACCCTACCCTACCCTACCCTACCCTACCCTACCCTACCCTACCCTACCCTACCCTACCCTACCCTACCCTACCCTACCCTACCCTACCCTACCCTACCCTACCCTACCCTACCCTACCCTACCCTACCCTACCCTACCCTACCCTACCCTACCCTACCCTACCCTACCCTACCCTACCCTACCCTACCCTACCCTACCCTACCCTACCCTACCCTACCCTACCCTACCCTACCCTACCCTACCCTACCCTACCCTACCCTACCCTACCCTACCCTACCCTACCCTACCCTACCCTACCCTACCCTACCCTACCCTACCCTACCCTACCCTACCCTACCCTACCCTACCCTACCCTACCCTACCCTACCCTACCCTACCCTACCCTACCCTACCCTACCCTACCCTACCCTACCCTACCCTACCCTACCCTACCCTACCCTACCCTACCCTACCCTACCCTACCCTACCCTACCCTACCCTACCCTACCCTACCCTACCCTACCCTACCCTACCCTACCCTACCCTACCCTACCCTACCCTACCCTACCCTACCCTACCCTACCCTACCCTACCCTACCCTACCCTACCCTACCCTACCCTACCCTACCCTACCCTACCCTACCCTACCCTACCCTACCCTACCCTACCCTACCCTACCCTACCCTACCCTACCCTACCCTACCCTACCCTACCCTACCCTACCCTACCCTACCCTACCCTACCCTACCCTACCCTACCCTACCCTACCCTACCCTACCCTACCCTACCCTACCCTACCCTACCCTACCCTACCCTACCCTACCCTACCCTACCCTACCCTACCCTACCCTACCCTACCCTACCCTACCCTACCCTACCCTACCCTACCCTACCCTACCCTACCCTACCCTACCCTACCCTACCCTACCCTACCCTACCCTACCCTACCCTACCCTACCCTACCCTACCCTACCCTACCCTACCCTACCCTACCCTACCCTACCCTACCCTACCCTACCCTACCCTACCCTACCCTACCCTACCCTACCCTACCCTACCCTACCCTACCCTACCCTACCCTACCCTACCCAACCGCATCCCACCCTACCCTACCCACCCCTACCCTACCCACCCCTACCCAACCCTATCACCCTTCGTAAGATCTTTAAATGCTTCTCCCTTCCTCCCTTACCCCCACTCCCTTCCGTTTACGAATGCCGACGGTGCCAAAGGAAAGAAAGAAAAAAAAAACTAGCATAAAGAGAGGGAAGAAAAAAAAAACTAGCATAAAGAGAGGGAAGAAAAAAAAACTAGCATAAAGAGAGGGAAGAAAAAAAAAGAAGAGAAAGAAGAAAAATTTGGAAAGAGTTGGAAGAAAAATGGGGAGAAGGAGAAAAAGAGGATGTGGTGAAAAGTGAGAAAAAAAAATGGAAAGAATGAGAGAAAATATGAGAGGAGGAAGAAAAAGCGAGAAAAATAGAGAGCGAAAAGGAAGAAAAATTTGGAAAAAATAGAATGGAAATATTGACAAAATAGGATAAGGCAAAGAAAGAAAGAAAGAGAAAATAGAATAGGAGAAAAGGTAAAAAAAAAAAAAAGAAATCAGAGAGAGAAAAAAAAAATTGGAAAACGAGAAAAATAAGGAGAAAAGGGAAGGCACTTTGGTCCCTGTCCCTGTTGTTGAAATCCAAAGCCGAACCGAGGGAAGTCATTAGGAAGGTGGCAATCGATCCCGCCGCCCGCCAGCCCGCCCGCCCGCCCGCCGACCGCCCGCCGCCGCTGCCGCCGCCGCCGCCGCCACAATCGCACTCGCGTAAACATGCATAACTAAACGTCCTCGTGATTGATGGCTCTTCATAAGCGGAATAATTTGTTCGAGGACTGACGCCATTTCAAATAGTTTATTTTCGGCGGGGCTCGATCGCTCCTCCCGCCCGTTCCCTTGGCGGCCGCTCTCTTCTTGTGGCCTTTTTATCTCTTCTCGAACTGTCTCTGACTTGTTTTTGTGTTCTTTCTGTCTTTTCCCGTCTCTCTATCTATCTATCTATCTGTCTATCACCCTTTCTCACTTATTCTCTCCCTCTCTCAGTTATATTCTCCCTCTCTCTCTCATTCTGCCTCTCTCCCTCTTTCTCTTTCTTTCTCCCTCTCTTTCTCTCTCTTCCTCTCTTCCGTTTTCTATTTGTTGTCTTGTTAGTGGCTGACACTTAACATAGCATAAGTATTCGGCGATATTTGTCAATAATTACTTACCTGCAACGGCTAAACTGTCAGGTGAGATGTGACACGTTGGCAAGGCTAAATTTTTGGTCGTTTATTTCACTTGGTCACCGGGAGAGAGGAAACTTGGTGTCGATTACTGGATGAATTGATAAAGGGATAGATGCAGAGTTAGACAGATAGACAGAAACGAAAAGAGAAGTATATGCTGGCATCTTTTTGTAAAAAGAAGCTATCCGTCCATCCACCTATCATAGATATAGATAGATGGATTGATTCTTTTTACCAAATGGTGCTAGCATACACTTCTTTCGTCTCGTTCTGTCGTGTTTCTCTGTTTCTGTCTATTTGTTTAACTCTGTCTGTCTCTATCGCTCTCCCTCTCTCTTGCGCTCTCCCTCTCTCTTGCGCTCTCCCTTTCACTTTCTTCTCTCTCTCTTTCTCTTTCTCTCTCTTCTCTCTCTCTCTTCTCTCTCTCTCTTCTCTCTCTCTCTCTCTCTCTCTCTCTCTCTCTCTCTCTCTCTCTCTCTCTCTCTCTCTCTCTCTCTCTCTCTCTCTCTCTCTCTCTCCCTCTCCCTCTCCCTCTCTCTCCCTCTCTCCTTCTCTCCCTCTCTCCCTCTCTCCCTCTCTCCCTCTCCCTCTCTCCCTCTCTCCCTCCCTCCCTCCCTCCATTCATCACACGTTACCTCCCTCCTCTCTTTCCCTCACCCTTCCCTTCCCCCTCCCTCCCTCCCTTCCTCCCTCCCTCCCTCCCTCCCTCCCTCCCTCCCTCCCTCCCTCCCTCCCTCCCTCCCTCCCTCCCTCCCTCCCTCCTCTCGTTCTCACAGCTCAGAAACAACTTTTGAAGTTCTGTCGACGTCAGTTCTCACCTGCGTTCCCTTCCCCCTTTTATCACAAGGGCATTTACCCTCACCACTAACACACCCTAAGCCCCTCTTTCATGCCACACGCTCTAGTCACTGTCATCTTACCGCATGACCAGTGGATAACACGGCAGTAAAAATCGTGGGTCACTTCAGCCTTCAGCATTCATTCATTCACGAGGAGGAGGACTTGTAGGATGAGAGACGTTGGTTCTTTTCGCGTTATTCAACATTAATTCATCAAGATCAGCGACATGTAGTGTTGGGTACGAATCAGTGCTATTCACTGCGTTTGTTCTTCCATTCAACCATAATTTTATTCATCAGTTCATTGTTATTCATCGTCGTTTAAACTGATGTTATTTTCATCATTCTCCCGTAACTAAGACGGTTTCTATGACGCATTTGATCATATTCCTCCCTCACTTAAATCATTATCATTAAATTAGTGGTACTTTATCAGTAGCATGATATTTAATAGTCGATTACCTAAAGCCTAATTACTCATGGTTAGTATGATATATGATATACTCATAGGTGCTCATTATCATTAAATATTACTGATCGTTAAAACGGTATGAAAATCAGATTGGTTACAGTCTATCAAACAGCCTACCAGTGTATCATATTCCAGTCTCTCTAACAAACATTCATTTGCACTATTACAACATTTTCCTTTTATATTTACCCTTTTTCCGTACGTAGGTCAAACTTATCCGTCAGCTACTTTATTGCATTATTTATCTGCTGCAACTGCCAGCGACCTATCAGCGTCTTATCAGCGTCTTATCTATGGCCATCATCTCCAAGCACACTGGCCTGCTTCGCTCTGGCCAGTCTCAAGGCCTGCGGTGGGGTTGGTGATGTGTTTATGTTGGCGATGAGTTGGTGTTATTGGTGTGTCCAGTTTTGTATACTGTTTGTTAATGTGTTGGTGTAGTCTGTTGGATTTTGTCTGTACTTATTCTCTCTCTCTCTCTCTCTCTCTCTCTCTCTCTCTCTCTCTCTCTCTCTCTCTCTCTCTCTCTCTCTCTCTCTCTCTCTCTCTCTCTCTCTCTCTGTTTCTTTCTCCCTTTCTCTTTCTTGCCAGTGTCAAAAAAGAAAATGCAAGCTTTCCCAATTATTTATCTCTCTTTATTTTTCTTCGCCTCTTTCTATAAATGCGTATCATGGTCACTCACAGTCAATTTCAAATTAAAACACATCTAGAAGAGATTACCGTAGTTAAGTATATGATATACCTTAGTATCCTTTAAACGTAGCCGAACTGTAGTATATCTACGATAGTTTCCCCTCCTACTCGCCCGTTTTCTTTTTTTCTGCACTTCGCCCTTTAAACACGTATCGCCAACTTTTACGACAATTTCTCGCTGTCTCTGAAATTCAGTCACATTACGCTACGACTGGTGTTGCTGAAGTTGTGTTTGGAATTAGTTAACATTATTTGAGGCAGAGAACTTAAATTGATAAGATTGGCAGTCAGGTCTAAGGAATAATCACTATTGCTTCTTGTATACTTTGTATTTTTGTAATAAGAAACTTCTTTCATGATTTATGTCAAGATGATTATAAGATAATTAGCTAATTTATACGCAGAAGTATTTTCTTTTAATCAGAAAATGGGTCGTCTTTGAGAAAGATTTTTACAATGTTGATTTACATTTTTATATCACGGAACACTTTTCACCGACTATTCACTTTTTTTCTCAATCTATTATATTCTTACTGACACCTTTTCATGGTAATCACACTGAATGTGTACTGATTTCGTATTTCCAGATAATTACATTTACCATCTTTATTCCGTTAGTGTCTTGGTCCCAAAATCTTTCACACTTAATACTGTAAGCTCATTTCAAATACCCCT